CCTGATCCTGGATAGGAAAAAGTGGGATTTCCAAATCTGGATCATTTTGATCCAGATTAAATGTTTTGAACAACTGGCCCAGTATTATAAATATTACGAAATGCCAGAAATAGAGGTTAGGGTTGTTATGTTGTGAACAAAAAGTTCTAACAGACTCAAACCTATAGTATATTTAAGCTGCGTTTGTATAGCTCTGCACAATCTGGACACCATACCTACCAACCAGTTTTGTAAAAGAAATGTGTTGACACATTTTATGTTTGCCCACAAAACTCACTTTAAAGCATTTGAAGTTTTTGAGATCATGATAAACATGAATTCCTCTGTATGTCAGCAGCTTACTTGTCCAAACAGCTCAAGTTGTGCTGAAGACTAGCTCAGGCGTGGCTCTCAGACATATGGATGTGATTAGCATATGTGAACTCCTGAGAGACGCATTTCTGCTCTTCACATCAGATAGACGCCTGTCATGTGGGACGGGGGGTTTCTCTTTGTTCAGCTGAGGAAGGACTGATTGTATGGATTTATCATAAAGGAATTTCAGTTCCTCCTATAAACAACATTTACTGGAGTCATGTTCTTGGCAGCTTTTACTTTACTTGTTCTCTTGTCAGTTCCTCGCATCCACTGCTGTTACATTTTACATTTACATTTATTCATTTAGCTGACGCTTTTATCCAAAACGACTTTCAATTTCTATATATGTCAGAAGTGGCACGCCTCTGGAGCAACTAGGGGTTAAGTGTGTTGCTCAGAGACACATTGGTGTCTCACAGTGGATTCGAACCTGGGTCTCTCACACCAAAGGCATGTGTCTTATGTGTCTTAGCGTTTGTATAATTTTCAAATTCATTAAAATCGAAGCCATTTCTATGACTCTCAGGCCTGCTGAAGTCTAATGCACTGTGTCGGCGACCATGGTCTACCAAATCCTTTGCATTATGAAGCTTTCAAGTCGTATATTTGAAACGGTTATGTGGAGCCGTAAAATGAAATCTCAGAAGACGCAGACACTGCTCTGTAATGGAGCTCATTTGTCTGTGCGAAAGAGAAAATAAAGAGGTTTATCCATGCGCCGTCATTCAGATGGTGCTGAGTCACAGTAGAAGACATTGTGCCTTCGCTTAATGAATTGGCCAACGACAGTAAAAGCTTTGTCTGGCAGAATGACAGTCTCTCTCTGCTTCCTCATTAGTCTCGAAAAGACACGAGTGAGAACTGCGACTCTATTAATGTTTAACTTCTAAATGTGTCACGGCATTCCTTTAGTTAGTGCGAAAGTCTATGTTAAAAAATAGTGAAGCTTTCGATTTTCATTACATCTGTTGTTTTTATTTGCTCATTTAGACTTACATGATGCAGTTCCCCTCAGACATTTGCAACTCATTACACATGCTGTATAAGTCATCATTATATTTATTACACAACAGAATTATGTGATCTGAAATGCCAAACTTAGGCTCATTGGAAAAACCTGCCTCTACATAGACTTTTGTAAAAACTCAATAACATACCTATGCATACAGTTTCAGTCTTTGTCACACAAATTAAGATTACAGAGGTAGATTTTTGAATAAACTATATTCATGCTGTTCATTACACAATACTGTGAAATGGCCTCAAAACACTTTTATCTAGGAATTAAATTTTACCGATATTTGGCCGATACCGATAATTCTTAGTATTTTAAAGCCGATAAATCTAAATACAAAGTTTTATATAATTTTGAGATTACAAAAATAAAAGTCTCATCATTAAAAGCAATGTCCCAAGCACAATTATAATGATGATCTTATAATTTTATGTAGCCGATATGTAGGGTTGGGTATCGAGAATCGAGTATCGATTGGAACCGGGACTAACTTTTCGTTTTTCCCGGAATCGTTCAAAAGTTAAAATTTCGATTCCTAGTTTCGATATTCACAACAAAAAAAAAAGTTTCGATATTCACAGTCCGCCGAGCGGAAGAAGAAACTGCTGAACAACACCAACGAAGAAGCGTCTACCAGAAGTGTTGGCATAACCACGCGAGTCAAACATGAGTACCTTGCGTTGGCGATCCAAAGTGTGGATTCACTTTTCTAAAAATAACGAAATCTCGGCAAAATGCAAAATTTGTGACAAAAGGAGTATTTTTACAGAAGGAGTATTTCCTTCAGAAAGGCCGTTGGTTAGCAAGGTTAGCTAAACTTTTTTGACCCTGCCTCTTAAAAGAATCGGAATCGAGAATCGTTAGGAACCGGAATCGAAACAAGGAATCGGAATCGGAATCAGAATCGTTCAAATTCAAACGATACCCAACCCTACCGATATGACAGACTTGCATTGCACTGTGTACACTTCACTGTATTTTCCTTTTTAAAGTGATTATAATCGTATTTCGTATTTGTGTTGAACATCTGAAGTGTCTCAGCTGGAGGAAATAACACATTATTTATCAGCTTTAACCCTTTACCTCTCACCCCCCTTTTTGAAAATTGACATTAAAATGCACTATACAAACTTAAATGGTTGTAATTCAAGAATGCTTTGGAATATAGACCTAAGTTTGGTCTTGTTTTAAAGAAAACAAACAGCAGGTTATTATTAAATTGAAAGCACTTAAAATTAAAAATTTAACTATGAAAAAGTTATGGAAGTTATAATTTACAGTAAATCAAATATACTTTATTAATATATTTTTTTAATATGAAATATATACTTTACAAAATACGTTTTACTATAAAATGAAAGCTATATATCGAACCAAGTTGTGTTCCAAATTTGAAGTTGATATCACAAAAATTGAAGTTCCCATGAGATTTTGTTTAGGCGTAGTACCAAAAATAGCCACCGGATGCCATTGAATTCCATTGAATTTAATTGTATGCATTTTGCCATAACAAATTAATAAATTTCTATCCAAATATCACTTCTGTCACTAAATATGGAACCTTGAGACTCAGACCTTTCTGACAATATGTGTTTTGTCAAGATTAGAAAAGGTTTTCATAATAAATTATGAAAGATGATGCCCAAAAGGGGAGGGGCCTAATAAAAAAAATACCGTTTCTATGGTAACTCAACGTCCAATTTCAAAACGGTTTTCACAGGATGAATTCTGAGTTCGTAAGCTTTCAAATGATACCTAATTTATGATAACTACTAAAATATGTGATATAATAATAATAAAAAAATTATATTTTATATATATATATAATATATTATACTTTTTAGAGGACTTCTTACCTTACTTTTTAAAATATAATTTTATCTTTTTTTGTTGACAAATACTAAATATGTTTTATTATGAAGTTTTAGCACTAAGAACCAAAGTTTCAATTATTAAAAGTGTGTGCGTCAACTTTTTGTGACAAAGGTCAGAAACTCCTGTAATGACGTCGATTTTTTTTTTGAGGCGCACTCTTGTCATATATTCATATATTACTGTTCATTCATAATTTGTAAGAAAAAAAAAACAGACCTAAAATATCTATTTAGGAGTCTTAGACCTTTCCAACGATATATAGTTTGTCATGACAAGATTAGGATTTAATAGTAATATAGTTGAATTTAATTGTATGCATTTTGCCATAACAAATTAATAAATTTCTATCCAAATATCACTTCTGTCACTAAATATGGAACCTTGAGACTCAGACCTTTCTGACAATATGTGTTTTGTCAAGATTAGAAAAGGTTTTCATAATAAATTATGAAAGATGATGCCCAAAAGGGGAGGGGCCTAATAAAAAAATACCGTTTCTATGGTAACGCAACGTCCAATTTCAAAACGGTTTTCACAGGATGAATTCTGAGTTCGTAAGCTTTCAAATGATACCTAATTTATGATAACTACTAAAATATGTGATATAATAATAATAATAAAAAATTATATTTTTATATAAAAAATATATTATACTTTTTAGAGGACTTCTTACCTTACTTTTTAAAATATAATTTTATCTTTTTTTTTTTTTTGACAAATACTAATTATGTTTTATTATGAAGTTTTAGCACTAAAAACTAAAGGTTCAATTATTAAAAGTGTGTGCTTCAACTTTTTGTGACAAAGGTCAGAAACTCTTGAAATTTTTTTGAGGCGCACTCTTGTCATAAATTCATATATTACTGTTCATTCATAATTTGTAAGAAAAAAAAACAGACCTAAAATATCTATTTAGGAGTCTTAGACCTTTCCAACGATATATAGTTTGTCATGACAAGATTAGGATTTAATAGTAATATAGTGAAGTAAAGTTAGGTTGCCCGTATACGGGCAAGTGACAGTTAAGGGTTAATATATCGGCCAAAATTTCTTATCAGGTTGATAACGATAACATTAAAAATGAACATATATCGGCCGATGCTGATATTTCATGCATCCCTACTTTTATCATAGAGCATGATATGCAAGAAGCAACGTAATATAATTTTGCAGAAATCTCATCACAGGCCCGTATTTCCAATGATCCTGGTTTGAAGATGACAGCTATTTCTTCACTGGTTAGCTTTACGTTGGGTATTGCATTAGAAGTAAAGTGTAGGGCCTTGCATAGTTCAGAACTGCTGTGCTGGAAGACGTTGCTCAGCTGATGAATTCAAGCTCTGCTATAGTCATTAGTGAATGAATGTGTAAAATGCACATATGACCTACTTTAACATACTTTGGAAAGGCACAGGTGTGATTTCATTGGTCCGCAGCTGCTTTTGGACTGGAATAAGGGCCTGTTACCAAATCTCTACAGATCGGAGGAAAATGTTAATTGGTGCCAGCAAAGAAAAATAACATATAGCTGTAAGTGATCATCACAGGGTATGGATGTGAGTATTAACGGAGGGAGGTGTTGAGTATAAAAATGTGTTGACCATTTGTTGAATATCGGATTATAATCAGCGTCCTCCATATCCAGTCAAATCCCTAATTGATTCATTCAAGTCCTGCCTTACATTTTTCATCCATGAACTAACATGAGTTGTCTTTTCACATTGACGTTAAGTTTCTCTCTATTGTTTTCCAGATGGAGCTTCTGGATAAATTCCCTGTGGAAGGTGGACAGAAGGATCCTAAACGCAGAATCATTCCCTTTTTACCAGGTAAACAAGTCATATACTACAGAAAGACACCGATCTCTGTTTTATATTTGCTTCTTGGAATCGCTTTGCTGCCGCTTCTTGCTTTCATATAGGAAATGCTGTAAACTTGTAATTTCCTTTTTCACTATGGATATGTGTGGTTATCTGCAGTTTCTGCTAAAGTACTGATCACTTTTCTAAGAGAAGACACAGAGAATCTGCCAGCATTTGACATTTGGTGCCACTGTGCATTTTTATATGTTTATTCTGACAACATTATCGAAATATTTCAGCTCTTTTTTTTCACATTCCTGTTCCGCATGTCAAGTCAAGTCACATTTATTTATATAGCGCTTTTCACAATACAGATTGTTTCAAAGCAGCTTCACAGTGATAACATGAAAGTAGTACAACACAGATCAATAATATTGTTAAATATTAAATATTAAATAACCCCAACTGAGCAAGCCAAAAGCAAGACGACAGTGGCAAGGAACCAAAACTCCATCAGATTGGATGGAGAAAAAACCTTGGGAGAACCCAGGCTCAGTCGGGGGCCAGTTCTCCTCTGGCTTACATTCATATTGTTTATATATAAATATTAAATATAAATATTGTTTATATATAAAACGGCGCCATAACATATCGCAGGCGTTGAGTCGTCTCTTCACAGGCGTTGGTCTTCTCATCACAGGCGTTGGGGCATCCGAAATCCCCGTGAGAGGCTGGATACAAAACTGGACCTGACGAACGCCATTTTTCTCGGGACAAGCGTCCCGCAATAACAGCAGAAAGGCAGATGGGAAATAATTAGCATAGCTGATGTTCATAATGATTTCCATTATACGGGAGTCGGTGTTAGAAAACCACTATCTCACAAACTCTCCGTAACCCAACCATACGCGCCGACCCGTTTGACTAAGGCTGTCGAGCCCCACTGTCGCAGAAATGCGTTTCAGTGGCAAACGGTTCCGGTATGGCATAACAGAGGACTAAAAGGTAAGCATTATGTGAATGCTTGACTAAAGAGAAGCGTCTTTAATCTAGTTTTAAACTGTGTCAGCGAGTCAGAGCCTCGGACCGTATCGGGAAGGCTATTCCAGAGTTTTGGAGCTAAATGCGAGAACGCCCTCCCTCCTTTAGTGGACTTAGATATCCTAGGAATGACCAGAAGCCTTGAATTTAGTGATCGTAAGGAATGGATTGTAGGGCGAAAGAAGGTCCGTTAAGTACAAATGAGCTAAACCATTTAGGGCTTTATAGGTCAGTAGTAGTATTTTGTAGTTGATACGGAACTTAATAGGTAACCAGTGTAGAGATGATAAAATCGGTGTTATATGATCATATTTCCTTGACCTAGTAAGAACTCTAGCAGCTGCATTTTGGACTTACTGTAGCTTGTTTATTGAGGATGCAGGACAACCGGCTAATAAAGCATTACAGTAATCTAGTCTCGAGGTCATGAATGCGTGAACTAATTTTTCTGGATCAGAAACAGATAGCATGTTACGTAGCTTAGCAATGAACTAAGCATGTACATACTATTTATAGCAATTGCAGTAACTGGGTTATAAATACGTACTAACCCTGAACTCATTAACCCATGTCGTAACTGTAAGTACACATACTGTCAATAAATAAAATAATAAGCCCAATTTTTGTTAAAAGGTGTAACCGTAGTCTTTGAGGACACAATTAGTTTACGCATTTTTATTTTCCATTGCAGTAATAGTTATTAAACCAAAAGTATACTTTCTTTAACTAAACGTATCGTACTTAGTTTACTCACGTTGTGGAAGAATTGTTGATAAAACCAGCCTAATGTTTATCTGTTTCTGGGTTATTAACACTGTGTATAAAAAGGTTCTGGTTCAGATCCACCCATGTACTGTCTGGCCTGGGTATACTTCATTTTCTGTTCTGTTTATAGTCGCCAAACTCGGTCCTGGTTTTTATTTGAATGGATGTCAATGGAGTAGAGGCTTCACTAAGCTGAATAAACCAGTTTTGTGATGAAATAGCTTATAATTTATAATTCAGGGTTGGAGCGAAATTCTGCAGGACAGTGTTTGCCCATACCTGGTATAAGCCAATTATACTTAAGTCAAATTTATTAGTCCCAATGAAATTAAAATTGAAAGGTTTGGCTTTTAGTATGAATATATTAACCTTATTGTTATCTGTAAGCTAGTTTGCTCTAAAACAATGTCAAAGTTCACATTTTAGAAGATATAAGACCTCAAAACTTACAGTTTCTCACTTCCGCCATTATGGAGCAATGATTTTGATGATATCACTCAGCTTCTCATCATAGATTCTGTCCAATCAAATTCTATCTATAATCTGAAGCACCGCCCCCAACATTAGGATTAGACGCTGAATCACACATTTAACCCTCAATCGGGTCATGAGGTCTATACGACCCCAATCGACTTTTATTTTATTAAGAAGAAAACAGGTTCCCTTCATCTCAGTGGAATAAGATTTTGTGACTTTTCATACATTATCTATCTATCTATACACACACACACAAAAACTGGACTCGGTTGTTCTGAATGTATTTAAATACAATGTTTACACTTCTGGTCTTTGGGTCAATATGACCCCACATTGAAATGAATGGGAAATGTGAAAAAACTAAATATATTTTCTTCATGTGTCAAAAAAAAGAACAAATCCGGCATAAATCTGAAAATTTTAACACAGAAATGAAGGCCTAGTACTAGAGCATAAATGCAATGTATTATAAAAAAATAATTATTCATATGCAAGCTAATGGTGTAGTTGAGGAATTGTGTGGTATATAGATACAAAAGTACTTTATATATCCAAAAACACAGCAATAATGAATAGATGAGAAGTAAACAAAAAAAATATATATTATTTGTGTGATTAAAAATGTATAATTTTTGTACAATTACTCAATCAATTGTTGGGGTCGTATAGACCCCAAAGCCCAGAAGTGTAAACAGGAAACAAAGACCATTTGAAGGTTAATATTCCCTACATGGCGAATGGCACATAGTGCACTATGGGATAGGGAACGATTTAGACAGTGTAACTATGCTTTCCATTGGGGCGAATGAAGTCTGGTTTCATGTTAGTGTCACTCGAACCACCGCATGAAAGCACAGAGCGGATCATATCGCCAATCACATGGAGGAGATTAGGTGGAAACTGCGGCTTTATCGAGCTCAACGGCTGTGGCTGAACCGTGATATAAACTAAACGCTATTGGTTATTTTAAAAAGGGGAGGAGCTGTTTGATATGTCCCGTCCTGGCTTCTTGTTTCATTAGAAATTGTGTTAACAATAATGCTGTGCGTTTAAAGGCACTTCATTGGGCCTTTAAGTACATCTCTAATAAGTACATAATTATTGATCAAAATAATGAGGGCAAATTAAAATAATAGCAGATGTCTTGGTTTAAAAAAAAAAGTAACTTCAGTAAGAAATGTACTTTTGCTATGGTTTTATAATTGTTCAGTGACCTCTTCCAAACATTTTTGAATTGTGACACAATTTTTTGTCTATGTAGCCTAGTGTTGACATGTTAACTAGTAAATACGCTAAGTTTCGTCATGCTAGCATGTAGAGCCCGACCGATAAAGGATTTTGAAGGCCGATACCGATACAAATATTTTTTTGTTTTAAAATCCGATATTCCGATATATCAGCCGATAAAAACCGTTATAAAACCGATATTTTTTTATTTTTTTTTATTTCAGAAACGCGCAACAAAACATTAGCAGATTTCCCTAACATTAATTATTTGTAGTTATTTATGAGTTTTAACTAAACTAATGTGATAATAAAAGAAACAAGTTTCTTTTTAAAATGCATTGTCACAACAGAACAGACTGATGATAGTGGCATTAGCTAACTTTATGGTTAGCTAGTCTATAATGAGCCATAATTTAGCAATGGATAACGTCATACTGCAAATTGTAAAACATACATTTTCAATATAACAGGCCAAGGAGAGATGATGCGTCTCATTGCTATAACTGTCACGCGCTATTAAAGAAATACTTCAGTCACATTGTCAAAAGTTAAAAGGACAGTCAGTCAACTACACTGTAACAACGTAACGTAACTATTGCTAGCTAATTCCGCTTCACTCTCGGCTTATTTAACAGCAGCAAAACTGGACAAGATAGTCACAAATTTTGTCATGCTTATTTGAGTTAAGAGAACTGATGGGGATGGTCTTTTAATTGTTATTCAAGCAATGTATGTCTCGTGACCAACTCAACGAGTGTTGCCAACAGGAACGGTGTAGAGTGCCCTCTGGTGGACAAACTATACAACTCCAACACTCATGACATGGTTCAAGCGTGTTTCCTCCGTTTTTATTTTATTTTTGAAATATTCATTTATCGGCCATTATAACTGCTGATACCGATAGTTTGGAAAATGACTAATATCGGCCGATATATCGGTCTGGCTCTACTAGCATGTGTGTTGCAACTAGCCCCACGTTAGGTTGTGGCCCGCTCACCCCAGAGTACTAGCTCAACAGCATTTACAGCAAGTTCAGAATGCGACAGTTAATTTGTTTAGAATGAACATCTGGCTGTAATTAAGCAGGCTGGAAGGTTTGTTTGCTTGGGAATCAGACAGTCTACAAGCACCTGAATGTTGTCTTACATACCAGCTCTTTACAACCGTTTAACAAGTGTCTGGGCTTACTGACACAGCACTTTGTCACCAATCTACACAGAAACTCCTGTAATTAGCTGAGCATCATGTACACACACTCAACATCTATTTGTGAGCTTTGTAAACACACTCATGGCACCATTATTCTGAACCTGTCTGTCCCATGGATGAGTGGGGGAAGGAAAAAAAGGTAATTTTAATTAAAAAGCTTTAACTTTCTGATACTTATATTTTTCCTAGTGCTTGGTTAAATGTGTATATATATATATATATATAATGCCACAATTATGTTCTATTTAGTGTCTGGATGAGTTCTTGCTAGTTACTATGGTTTCTGATTAGCAGTTCCTGTTTAGTGTCCTCATATACTATGTGTATTTATACTCGGTTATTTTTTTATCAGTGTTATCGGTGTTTGCTATTGGATTAAAGACTTAAATGCATTTTTCTCCTTCGTTGTGCTCTTTCTAAGCCACCATAAACATGGCAATAGTGGATTATCACGCTTCCGGGTTTCATGGGCGGGATTTGTCAACGTTGTGCATGTCCACTTCCGACTAGGGTTGGGTATCGAGAATCAAGTATCGATTGGAACCGGGACTAACTTTTCGTTTTTCCCGGAATCGTTCAAAAGTTAAAATTTCGATTCCTAGTTTCGATATTCACAGTCCGCCGAACGGAAGAAGAAACCGCTGAACAACACCAACGAAGAAGCGTCTACCGGAAGTGTTGGCATAACCTTGCGAGTCGAACATGAGTAGCTTACGTCGGCGATCCAAAGTGTGGCTTCACTTTTCTAAAAATAACGAAATCTCGGCAAAATGCAAAATTTGTGACAAAAGGAGTATTTTTACAGAAGGAGTATTTCCTTCAGAAAGGCCGTTGGTTAGCAAGGTTAGCTAAACTTTTTTGACCCTGCCTCTTAGAAGAATCGGAATCGAGAATCGTTAGGAACCGGAATCGAAACAAGGAATCGGAATCAGAATCGTTCAAATTCAAACGATACCCAACCCTACTTCCGACGCAGTTCAACAATGCCTGAGACGAATGCTATTTATGTCACTGCTCTGTTCCACTTTGTAAATCTAACCAACAACGCCAACCCTACGTAAGTTTTCATGGATTCCCGACTGAATTGAGTATAAGGAAGAAGTGGATTAAAACTTTAAAATAAAACAAGGTAGCACGTTTGTTTGCAGCCGGCACTTTAGTGAATCAGACTAATTTACCAGGGATGCCGTATAAATAAACTTAGTGCAGTCCGTCATCAGTTCGCCAGTGAGATCGGTGATTCAACGGAAGTGGCAGTGCACAAAGATCACAAAATTCGGAAGTACTACGTATCAGCGTGATAATCCCCTATAACCGACCCTCTGGGAAACGAGTAAACCATGACCTCACCAGCATTGCGCCATCTCCTTTTCCTCCTCCTCCCCGAGAACCGAAGGTTGCTGAGGTATTTGAGCTGGATGCTCTGGGATGACGGCCTCTCCCTCACAGCCAGCGAGCCCGAGGCACCCATGAAGCTCGTCCAGGAACCAGATCCGGATACCATCAATGCCCTGGTAATGAAGTCTAAGCGCCCTGATCAGTCCACCCCAAATATGGTCCTGAACCTGATAGATATGTGTCCTGCGGATCCACTTCCCACCCAGATCCACGACCTCGAATTCTCGCCTTCTTCGCCGGTCCCGCCCGGATATTTGGATGCCCTGCTCGTGCTTAACTTCTCTGGTCCCATCTCCCACGCTGGTCATCAGGATCCGTCAGTGACACTGGAGTCGTCTAGCTCCCAGACTCTGCTCCTTCACTTGCTCCGTGCGGATCGTTAGCTTTGCTTCGGGCTTGAGCCGAATTCCCCGGCTACACATCAGGCCTCCAGTCCCAGGTCCTCATCTCGACCTGTCAGCCCATCAACCTCGCTTCGGCGCTATGCCTCCTCGTCGCCTCCGTGGCCCGTCTGCCCTGAGACTCCGCTGGGCTCACTCGTCCCTCCAAGTCTGCCTCCGGTGGTCGTCGCTCATTTTCCGGGATTCCAGAAGTCCCTACTCCC